ACACCGACTACATGCTTGACGACGACAATCAGAGGCCACTTCGTCTGGTCGCTGCGAAAGACACCGAACTGCCGCCACTACAAGAGCAAATTGTCAGCATTACGTCCAACGACATCTATCACGGTGATGCATTGGTCTCACCGTCACCACTTTGCGTTCGTAAAGGTATAGTTCTTCCGTTCAGTGTCGTTCGTTTTTGCAATGGCTCTGCACTTGTCACCGCTGTCAACTCTACACTGGAGAAGATCTTACAGCCACAGGGCACTACTGTGGCCCGTGTTCCCGACTTCGAGCCTGTATTTGTCACGCCACTTCAGGCCATCGCATCTAGAGACCCTTCCCTCGGTGAGCATGTTTCTTCCTCCGCCTTTACCACCGCTATCAGCAGCGACTTGACATATTCACAGAGGCAGCAGCTGCTCGCATTGTTACAGAAACATGCAAATTCTTTCGACATTTGCTCGTCTAAGCTGGGCCGCACTAATACTTGGGATATCTACTTGGGATGGCAATAATACTTGGGATGGCACTAAAACTTGGGAAAACCATTGGGATATCTATCGTACACTGCCGACCCTACCGCGTGTCTTTAGCTGAAAGAAAAATTATAGAAGAAAACGTTGCTGACATGGGAAGTCATCCGTCCCTCATCTAGCCCTTGGTCGTCTCCTATTGTTTTGGTCCGTAAAAAGAATGGCTCTGTGCGTTTTTGCGTCGACTACCAGGTGCTCAATAAGATCACACGCAAGGACGTGTACCCTATACCACGCATTGACGACGCCCTTGATTCCCTACAAAGCGCGGAATTCTTTTCAAGCATCGACTTGCGTTCTGGGTACTGGCAGATCCCCATGCATGAATACGATAAGGAGAAAACGGCGTTCGCAACCCCCGACGGGCTACATGAATTCAACGTGATGCCTTTTGGGCTCTGAAACGCACCCGCGACTTTTGAGCGCATGATAGATACCGTGCTGCGCGGCCTGAAATGAAAAAGTTGCTTTTTCTACCTGGACGACATTATTATCTTTTCGTCAACTTTTCCTGAGCACCTAGAACGATTGGATCAAGTTCTGACGTGCCTTGCCGGCTCCGGGCTTCAAATAAACACTAAAAAATGCTCTTTCGCTAGCAAATCTATCAAGGTCTTAGGACACGTCGTTAGCAAAGATGGCATCTGGCCCGAGCCCGAGAAGATTTCTGCAGTCCTTCACTTTCGCGTCCCAAAAAACCAAAGGAGCTTCGCAGTTTTCTTGACCTCGCCTCCTATTTTCGCCGGTTTATCCAGAACTTCGCTTCTATTGCTGCTCCATTACACCAACTACTTGCTTCCAACGTCCCCTTCCTGTAGTCTCAAGAATGTCAACCAGCATTCGACCTGTTGAAGCGGGCACTCACGTCTGAACCTCTGCTATGCCACTTTGACGAAGCCGCACCGACTATCCTCCATACAGACGCTAGCGGCCTTGGTGTAGGAGCCGTTCTTCTAGAACGCGACAAGTCTTCCCTTGAGAAAGTTGTTGCATATACCAGTCGCGTACTCACCCCTGCCGAAAAGAACTACACGATAACTGAGCAAGAGTGTTTGGCTGTGGTTTGGTCGGTGCAGAAGTTCCGTCCCTATCTCCACGGCCGTCACTTCACAATCGTTACGGACCACCATGCCTTATGCTGGCTTTCTACACTGAAGAACTTGTCCGGACGCTCGGGTCGGTGGATACTACGCTTGCAGGAGTACGACTTTGACATAACTTACAAGTCAGGCAGAAAACATGAAGACGCCGACGCTTTATCTCGTTGCCCGCTTCCAACTACCCATATCAGCGTTGGTGAGAACTCAACCGCCACATTTACCAAAGTTAATACGCTCGCATCAATAAGGCAACCCTTTTCGGACGACGAGCCAACATTTACCTCCCGCCAGCGGTCCGATTCATACTGCAGACGCATGATGGACCACCTTTCGGCAGTTTCTCATCCACCAAACGCGCGACTCCGTCGTCAACTCCTGCACTTTAAGCTGGACAATGGGGTTCTCCAGTGCCATGTCTACCACCCTGACGGTCAACGCTGGGTTCCTGTACTGCCACGCCCTCTTCGACTTCAGGAGCTCGAAACCTTCCACGATGACTTGACTGCTGGTCATCTTGGTTTTTAAAAAACTCTTGACCGCATTCGATGTCGTTATTACTGGCCTGGCCTTTCTTCTAGTGTAGCGTGGTACATCGGTTCCTGCTACCCATGCCAGCGTCGTATACTCCCCACGTCTGCATCTGCTCTACAGCTGCGTCCGTGCCCTTCAATGCCGTTCGAGGTTGTAGGTGTCGACCTTTATGGGCCTCTCCCCGTCACATCTGCTGGCAAACGATGGATAGTGACCGCCGTGGACTACCTGACTCGCTACGCTGAGACTTCCTCTGTTATTACAGGCTCAGCTGTGGAAGTTGTGGACTTTATTCTTCACGCCATAATTCTGCGTCATGGGGCTCCTCATGTACTGCTTAGTGACCGCGGCAAAGTGTTTCTGTCACAAATGGTAAATGAAGTACTGCGCGCTTCTGGAACTACTCACAAGACAGCGTCAAGCTACCACCCTCAGACAAATGGCCTCACAGAAATATTTCAGCGAACCCTTGCTGACATGATAGCCGTTCACGTCCAACCCGACCACAAAAACTGGGATACTCTTTTACCATTCCTGGCATTCGCTTACAACACCGCCGTTCAGCGAACAACTTGCTACTCACCGTTTTATCTCGTGTACGGACGCACCCCGACTACATTTCTCGGCGTCTCCTTCTTTAACAGCCATGGGAATTCATGTCAGTCTTCTAGCGAAGAATACATTTCCCGCCTGGTCCAGTCTCGCCATCAGGCTCGCATCAATACTGAAGAGAGACAGCACGAGCGGAAGATCATCTATGACGCATCCCACCGCGTTGTGTCTTTCCAACCTGGTGGCGAGGTGCTGCTTTTGACGCCTATTCACACTCCTGGTCTCTATGACAAATTCCAACCACGCTTCATCGGGCCATACATTGTTTTAGAACAGACTTCGCCGGTCAATTATCGTGTGACACCACTCGTCGCCCCAACAGACCGCCGCTACCGCAGCACAGAGATTGTCCACGTTTGTCGCATGAAACCTTTCACGCGACGTTCCCCGTCACTTTGACTTACGGCGGCCAGGGTGTCCGCTTCCACGTGGGGGGAATGAGTGTGGGCATTTGTTACTTACATCGTCAACATCCCTGCATGATCACAATCACAATCATCCGTTGTCTCTTTGTCCTCATTGCCACTCTGGGTCATCATCACCGTCATCGTCTGTGTACTAGCTCTGCCCGTTCGTTTTGCGAGGTCTTTCCTCAAATGAACGCTGACGCAGCCAAGACTACCAAGACTTCATATTCTGTGTGTGTGTGTGTGTGTGTGTGTGTGTGTGTGTGTGTGTGTGTGTGTGTGTGTGTGCGTGTGTGTGTGCGTGTGTGTGTGCGTGTGTGTGTGCGTGTGTGTGCGTGTGTGTGTGCGTGTGTGTGTGTGTGCGTGTGTGTGTGTGTGTGTGTGTGTGTGTGTGTGTGTGTGTGTGTGGTGTGTGTGCGTGTGTGTGCGTGTGTGTGTGTGTGTGTGTGTGTGTGTGTGTGCGTGTGTGTGTGTGCGTGTGCGTGTGTGTGTGTGTGTGCGTGTGCGTGTGCGTGTGCGTGTGCGTGTGCGTGTGTGTGTGTGTGTGTGTGTGTGTGTGTGTGTGTGTGCGTGCGTGTGTGCGTGCGTGCGTGCGTGCGTGCGTGCGGGCGGGCGCATCCTGCCCACGGCAAGTTATCTTTTCACCCACTTTTAGAAGCTAGCGAAACGGCAGCGAGCGCTGCCGTTTTGCTAGCTTCACATATACTGATTGATTTGTGGGGTTTAACGTCCCAAAACCACCACATGATTATGAGAGACGCCGTAGTGGAGGGCTCCGGAAATTTTGACCACCTGGGGTTTTTTAACGTGCACCCAAATCTGAGCACATGGGCAGCTTCACATATACTAAGGTTCACATATACTTCACATATACTAAGTTTGGTATTACGGGACGTAAATAGACGACGAAGGTATGTGACACGTCCAAACATGATAATCATGATATTTGTGTCATGTAAAACATGATTACATGTTACGCTCATATATAGCATGCTCGCAGTCGTTTCGCTAGCTGCACATATACCAAATTTGGTATCAGGTGACGCGAATTGATGGAGAAGGTAAATGACACCTCTAAACGCAATAATCATGACATGAAAGTTATGTACGGCATAATTTACCTCCACCTCGTAATGTTGCGCGGATTTCAAAGTGGCATATCAACCTCCCTGATCCGTGCTTCGCATATCAGCGATTCCCAGTGTACGTAGGATCTGCCTTCTTTTTTTTTTAAGGGGCGAAGCTCCTTATTCCGTGGGTCGTGCGTCCGCGACGTAGGTAGTAGTAGCAGTAGTCGTCGTCGTCGTCGTAGTAGTAGTAGTGCACCGTAGTAGTAGCTAACCACCTCCACAGCCGGACTAGAGGAGCGGCACGCGCGCACTCATTTTAATTGAGGAGGAAACCCGAGCACAATAATCATAAATAAAAAGATAGTTGTTTCTGATGAGACAACCTACAGAGAACAGTATCGATGACTTAATCTTTCAATAAAATTTGCCTAATAAATTGTGGGGGGGGGGGGGGGGGGGCAAAGGTATGTCTTAGCGCTCCATTTCCCATTAGTTCAGTATATGACACTGCAGACTTTGTGCCCCCCTTTCTCCACCTCATTTAGGCGACAAAGAGGGCCAACTAAGGAAGGTAGACGACGGCGTGCGTATGTGCGTGCGTTCTTCCTATCAATGCAATTACGGTGCTGACGTGAACAGTTCTTTGTTCTGTTTCATCTAATAACACGAGCTGCAACTTTGTACGTCATAACTGCTCGTAGCATACGACTTGAAACGTGCAAACACGTTACAATATAAAGTCTTCTCGCTTAATTCCTTTAATTTTCGCATGGATCATAAACATACAAAACATTGAATGGAACTCAATTGCGCTGTAAGTACGCGATAAACCCGTGAACAAACAAAAACGCATTATCTGACTTTATTTTTCTATTTACAACAGAAATGAACAAGTAAGGAATGAGCTCAAATACTGCTGCATTGTTCAGACTTCTACGAAAGTCAAGAACACAGGACTCAACGTCGCCCAACATGAACAAATCAACAAACTATGATGGAATCCATAAAACATGCGAGCGTGATGCTCAGTAACATACCATCTTGGTAAACGCTATGTCTACAATGTATAACCACTGTCAAGCAAGCAAATGTCTCATGCTGATGTTGTCGGAATTCTTTACAAGCTCTGACGAACATAGAAGCATGGCGATTTGGGCTAGTTGGTATGATATGACGATTGTTATAGCTCCTCTTGTCTCTTTGTTGTCGTTTTGATCTCGCGCTGTAACAACCGTCTCACCAAAAACTGCGTTCACAGGTATCCGTAGAAATTATAACAATAATTAACAGAAGTCGACTTAAACGGAAGTCCACCATTATGTAGTTGCTCTGAAAATTCCCCCCACGCAGTCCATGTGTGGTAAGCACACCGGTGTGATGACAGCGACACAATCCAAGTTTGTTATTTGAGGCCCACATTTTATGTTATTGGGCTTTATAAAGCGAATCATCATGACACAAAATGGTATAGTCTCTTTTTTTTCTTTTTTTACTACCTAGCTACTAGAAGTAAGGCATCGAAAAGAATATTCAGTGCGCGTGCACGCCAAACACGGACCTAGCCTGCCATGTCCTCACAGGCAAGCCACGTCTCATTTTTTTACAGTATCAATATATCTCGCAGTTCGCACTACCGCTCGGTAAGAATAAAGATAAATCCAGTACGCACCAATATCCGTCGCGTGCATTTTTAAACGCTTAAAAAACTTGCAGTCTGCATAAAATAAGAGGCCCTTGAAATGTACGAGCATCGCTTCACTCTATTCGCATATCACTGTAAACATTCTTCTTTCCGTATTGTTTTTTACACTGGCCTCTCGTATGTCTAAAACGAAAGGTGAAGTGCGACGCGATAACTCTGTTACCACTTACACGTTTTCTTGTGTAGCTTTAGGGACAGACAGTAAAATAGCACGCTCAACAATGCATGGAGAATGGCTAAGATATATCTTACTTTCTTGCATGAAAATGACATCTAATGGTGACATTGTAGTAACCTAACTACAAAGCTTCGCTCACGGAATGTAAACAAAAAACAAATCATTCTTCTATGCCATCAACAGCAAAACAGCTACCTTTACGACAGACATTTGCCAATTAGAGCAGAAAAACACCTCTGACGATTCCATTCACTGGTCAGGCTTACTCAGTGCCATTATATACCTCGCCAGACAAAATAAAAATAAGCTATAGCAACCATGCATATATAGCAAAATAACTGGTGATCTCGAAACAAAGGCCCAACACAGTGACCATTCTCAGGATCATTGTATATACTATAGACGACATGTAACAAAAAACTACCTAAATTGAATCAAAGAAGAATGAACAAATTATTATTCATATTCATGAAGCGTGGAATCATCTGTGTGAATGATTCAACAATTACACACATGCCGATTGTATACACACTACACTTTTTTGGTTTAAGCCAGCATTGCGACTTCCGCTGCACATCTTTATTTATGCTCCCTATTTGTATGTCATGGTGTGCTTCAATAATTCTTTCTGAAATTAAAATGCCTCATATTAAAAGTTATATTACGCTCGTCATTTTCAATAGATGGCATATTACAAAGTTGACCTCACAAAGCCGTCAACCATTTTTTCCAGCTTTTGACAGCTTGCAAACTGTCAAGTATCGTACAAAAGGGAAAAGCCCAATCATATAGCCCGTAGAACTGGCACAGTTTTCTTAGATACTTACTTGAAGACATCTAACAGTACACAACAAACAACAACAATACACCAACAGCAACAGATAACAAGGGGTACACATGACATCCCGTTTTTGAAAGATTGTAACCCAGATATGTGTCCACATCGCATCTGTATATGAGTGCCACAAAAAAAAAAAAAAAACAGGGCGGACACTTCGCCGGTGAGACAACTTTTTGGATAAATCTCGACTTCTTCATACGGCACAACACTTAAAGCGGCACCAAACGAGCACCCTCATCAGCACCGAAATCAATCCCGAGTTTCACATTTAGTGTCTCAGAACAGCGCAAGGATGCTAACCAACACAGACTCACAAACACTTCCTCTATGTTGACTGGTTTATAGTTACTTCCGTATTCACGGTGCTAAACGTAAGACAAGTTTCATGTTGCATCAAGACATTGAAGGGATACCAAAGCGAACAACTCATTTTCTGCTAAAAGCAAATTAGCACATCAAAATGTAGAAATGGCTCTTGAAGTCAGTTGGCAAGCGTGAAAAACGAGAAAACGAAATTTTGGGGGATGACGTCACTTTGGCCTTCCCGCACATTGACGTGGCAATGTCAAAGACTTCAACAGCGTCCTCTGTGGCCTACACAACCATTTATCGGTAAAAATTAAAAATGTAGTTACCTGTTTTCTGAGAATGAACAAATAAATTTGGAAAGCTTCACCAATTTTTAGCCAATATGCCTGCATTCCCCAAAACAACATTGAAACCCGTGATACAAAAATTACAATGTCGTGCAGAGATTTCAGAACAAAATTTCACAATAAATATCATTTTATGCTATAATAATGAATTTATGGTGGTGAACTCTAATTTGATTGAGTGTTTAACTTTCGCATCCCTTTACGCTCGAAATTGTCTTGGGTCATACCAGCGGTACAGCATCACATGATGTATGACTCCATTTTAACCAGAGGTCTGTGGCCTATCTGAGTGTAGCCGCTCAGTTGTACGGCACACACACAGTACACAAAGAACAGAGAAAGGTGTGATGAACTGAGTCTGTTATAGGCAGAACATTCCAGATGGTTGAAGTACTTCACAGACTGTCTTTCAGTCGAGAAATGTTCATTAGGAGTGACGTTGGTGGTAGTGGTGAAGTGGCCTCTCTTCACTTCTTGCATGATGAGAACTCGCGAGAGCGAGGAGGCACCTCGTACTTCTCACACGTACACTTTGGAGTTTTCATCGTAGGCGATGACACGTTTGACCACCACAAGACGAGCTCGGTGGTGTCGGTCAGCACATGTTAAGTTGACGCAAGACAGAATCGCTGTCACTTGATCGCATGCCAGCATATCACCGTTATCGATGGCAGCGAAACAGAAAAGACCATTCGCTTTAAGTCCAACTCGTGAAAAGACGCCCTCTTTGCTCTTGTTCGTTTGTTTTCTGTCCACTTTCACATTCAGCAATTGCATTTCACATTCAGTCGAGGTACATACGAGACAATCGCCTCGCACAGCTTTGGCACTACAACAATATCTTTGCCGTACATCTACAAGTACACATCAGCCAGGCTCACACAATAAGTATAGACGACAAAATTACTTCACGTTGACACCACGTTAAGTAGTGATGCACTTCTATTCCGCACAAGAAATTATGGCGTCAGAATATTTATGACAATGAGCGTGCACGACTTGATAATAAAACTTTGTGCTTGTGCGTCACAAATGCTCAGAAATTTCGATGAGTCACGAGGCACTCACAATACACAGCCACACGATAGCATTCACTTTCAGCATCATTCACACTGATGGCGGTGCAGGAACGATCCATGTCAGACGACCTCTCCTTGTGCCCAAGCTTTCTAACCTAAGTACTCGCTACTTTGTTGCTCTCACTGTCGGTCACTCTGTCGGTCTAAGCTGCAACACGAGGATCCCATCATCCGAACGTGTTTGAGCATCTCCACTTTGAAGAAATCGTGAGCTGGGACGAGTCCAGCAATATGTTCTTGCGAATTCGTTGGCAGTGGCGCTGTTACCAGCAGCGCAGTGGCTTCCTTAGGAACTGAGGTGCATCCATGTGGTGAAGAGCAGCTTTCGCAGTGCCACCCTGCCTACGAGGGTCCATCAGTTGGCCAATCCTCTGTTGAGGGTCCAGCCCCGTCGGTGGCACCGGGGTTCGGACAGTTGACGTACGTGACGTTGAGACTAACCCTCCTGTTTCTCTTTTTCCTCTCCAGGCTTGTTATGACATTCGAGACGTCTGTCACCAGCTGTGCGAAAGAAGGTCGTCGCTTGGGGTCATCCTGCCAGCACTGCAGCATGATGTCGTAACTGAATACAAATAGAATGAGATAACAATGTAATTATGAGCATCGTTATCATTAAAACAAATGTACCCATTAAGCAATCGTCATCAAGAAAGGATTCTTTCATGCTGACTTACAGTTCGTCTGGGCAATAGCTTGGCTGTTGCATCCTGCGTCCTTGTTTAAGGAAATTGACGATGTCCCAGTTGTCAACTTCCGGATACGGTGTCACCCCACGCGTCATAAGCTCCCACAAGAGCACACCGTACGACCACTGCATCACAAAAAAGGAACAGTTATACTTAATAACCTGCGGTATAACTCAATTCCAAGCCATCTGGACATTAAGTACTGGTGCGAAATGGCCAGTACCATGCGCCGGCGAGAAGTCTTACCACGTCCGTCTTGTGGTTGTAGATACCCTTCTCCAAGCTCTCAGGTGCCATCCATTTGACGGGAAGCTTCGTCTTCTTGTTATCACCGCTGTAGTAGTCCTTTTCGTACACGTCGCGTGAGAGACCGAAGTCGGCCACTCGAACGATGAAGTCTTCGCTTAGCCTGCAATGATTAAATCGTCACTAGAGCTATCCTCAGAGACAAGAACCAATAATAAACACACAAAGGGTACTTACATGCAGTTGCGAGCCGCCAGGTCTCTGTGCACAAACTTTGTATCAGCCAAGTACTTCATGCCTTCAGCAACGTGGATTCCAAACGTGATCAAATCCTTGACAGTTGGGTTCTAAAAGAACAGAAAAAGTCCATGTAAAAAATAATGTACCTAACCAGTAAAAACCCAGCAAGGTTATTAGTTCCCCATCATAACAGCCGTTATCCTTACGTTTCGTTCGTCTCGAATGAAGGATAACAGATCGCCGTATTTCATGTAAGGTATGATGACCATCAGGCCTCCTGATTCGTCAATGCTGAGTCCAATGAGAGGCAGAACGTTCATGTGATGGAAGTCCTTCATAATGAGTGCCTCCTCGAGGAAAGCCTGGCCGTCAGCCTCGCCACAACGAGAATCTGCTGCATCTAAGAGACACGTAGAATAAGAGCTTGCACTAATAGCACAATGAATCCATTATATGCGTGGAACAAATACCCCAACTGCTAGAAGCCATTCTTGATAATAACATGCAGTATTCTACATACATGAACACAGAGGAAATTGATTGGAAAGATTAGCACTGCTGCTTAACATATGCATATGTCAGCAAAACCGCATTAAAAGGCAAATTGGTTTTAGCACGAAGTGCCGAAAAGAAGTTTATTGTTTTTCCGCATATATTTGATTATACATATCTCACAAAATGTAAATCTCAAGTAGCCATGGCAATATAGTCAGGCGGGCTACTTCTGGTTAACTGAAATGAAATATCAGCTTATTGTGATTTATGATAAAATGCAAAAGTTCACAAGTTTTTAGTGAAGACTACGATAAAACATCAATATTCTGAAAACTATTTCGGTTATAATTTAGTTATTACCTTTTATTTTAGTTTCGTTTTTTATATATCATGCTCCCATGAGAATTCAGGAAATTGGGCTTTGATTACTTTATATGTCTGCTATATAACTCATATAATTAAGAAAACCTTTTTCATAATGAAGCACAAAAAATACACAAAGCGCATGTAGTACTATACGAATCAAGTAGAAGGACAACAAAAAAATACACCATCTCCGCTAAAGGGAACCATGTGTAGATGCGAATCAGCGGGCGCTAACGCTCACGCTGGCGGCGACGTTGGCGCTGGCGCCCATCGTGGCGTTGCGCAGAAGAGCAACCTACGGAGGTGTATAGCACGCAGCTATAAACAGGTGTTTCCTACTGGAATATGCCAATCGCTGCTAATGGGCACTGAGAGACAGAAGACTCCGATTGGACACAGAGGCCCGCAGCTCATTTTTAGTTAACGGGCATGCTGCAAATTTTTATTGTTCGAACACGCACAGGAGAAATCTCCCCCTGGCACTACCTTGGAGGTCAAGATCCAGTGTCAGTATATACGGGGTGGCCAGTGAATGATTGTGCAGCACGAGCAGTAAGTTTCTTCAATCAAGAAACTTGCTAGCAGACCGCGCCTGCGTCGTCGTTACGAGGCGAGAAGAAGGGGGGGGGGGTGAAGGAGAGGAGATAGCGCATGTGCAATTGGGGTCTAAACGCCGCACACCAGATGGGGGTCGACCCTAAACTGCTTAGCATCTAATAAATAGTCGCCTGTGCTCATGTTGGCTGTGTACTATATCTTAGGCAATGGAGAAGTGTCTCAATGAGCCAGAAGTGTTTGTTTGTATTGAGGATATCTCACTCGCATTAATATACTCATGAAGTCACCAGAAGTCGGCAGATGTTCTTTGCACACAACTACAAAACAAGTGGAAAATGAAAGTACTGACTGTTGTGAAGAGTTTTGACAGCAACTTGCTGAACTTCGCCCTTGCCTTCCAGCTCCAGGGTACCCCGGTAGACACAGCCAAAGTGACCTTGAAGTTGAAAAATATGGGTGAGCTGCTGCACACGACCCTTTACTTGAAAGTAACAATGTATGGGCCTTTATACTAATATTTTACACTGTTTTCGAGTGAAACTACTAGTAAATTTATTGAAAATGCTAGCAAAGCAAATACTGCTTTACAAGAGACATTGGTGGTGCTGTGCTAAACTTTCACAGATTTTCGAAAGCTATGATGTGCATAACTTTCATGTACTCACAAACGGCTTTTTCATAAAATCATTAAACATTAAGTGAGTCTCATACACACTTAATTGTATTGATTGATTGGTATGCGAGGTTTAATGTTCCAAAACCACCATATGATTATGAAAGACGCCGTAGTGGACAGCTCCGGAAATTTCGACCCCGTGGGGTTCTTTAACGTGCTCCCAAATTATTAGTTGTATTGTAACTTAAGGTTGTTCCTATGCACCTATAAGACCCATGACACTCCTCACAAGTGGACTTTCGCCTGGAAAAATGCATCGTATAAAGGGTGAAGACCACAGTATGACTATCTCAACACAAAGATAGTTTTATTGCTCTAATCATAACGTCCGGCCCTCAACGGGATATTAGGGTGAACTTACAATCACCACAATTGTAATTGCACTAGCTACATGCCAATAAAACTATATTTCTAGTTCATCCATAGCCAACAAACGCTATAGACACAGTACAAACACTCAGACAACAGTGCAGAGATGGACTATAGGCGCTGTTGTCTTGTGGTTCCTACCGTTTACCATTCTTTACAAAATGTACCATTCGGCCCAAGTAAGCACTCTTGCACTACTACCGCTGTTTCTGCCTTGATTAAGCTGATAAGAATTTCATTTCAACAATGTGCCAGCATTAGCTAAATGTGAGTGTACACGTCAAGCAGTCACTGCGACGTACCTTGACCAATGACCGGGCCCAGTACGAGGTGCTCCCGCTTGAACAGAAGTTTCTCGGATTCCAGCATAAGCTTCGTTTCTTCATCGATCTGGAAGGGCGAGCTGATGAGGGCCTGTCGGGCGTCGGCCTCGCTGCCTTGCACGTAGCCTGTGTTAGCGAAACAACCAAACAGTGCTGCTTTCACACCCAGTCCTGGCGCCCAATTTAGAAGGGAAAGACATTTCACCGCGTTGCCCAGAAGAATTTTTTTTAATTTAGAGAGAAAGGGTGCATCATGCAGGCGAGTGATGGAGAGAGTAGTCAGTCAGCTAAGAGCCGTTCGTTCATGAAGCGAGGATGCACTTGAATACAAAGTACACGCTAAGCATATTGCGCTCAAAAGTTATATTTTTTTCTAGACCTCAAGGACATTACTACCGAGTCGTAGCATTGACTCATTTTGCTAATGGAGAATGCCATCTGTTTGTAATTTGATTCACGGCTTCTTGCCAGTTCATAAGTCCTGCCAACTGCCATTATTGTATGCCTCTACTATTGCAACCTCTGGAATCAAACTTATGGCCATCGTACCTTGTCTAGCTTATAACATTGGCCATCCGAAAGAACATGTGTAATGAACGTATATTGGCGTTCACGTTTGTGGTTCATTTTTCACTAGTACTGTGCAGTAGCAGTTTGCAGTCAACATCTCTTGATAAACTTTATTCTTTCAAGCTCGCCATTTCATTGATGTCTTTTTTTTTTAACCAAAGCTTTTGCTGCACGAGCATCCGTGATTATTGCAGCTTATTTTAGCACATATCAATTTTATGTGCATCAGCATGACAGATGATTAAGTAACTATTCGCACTGGTTTAGCCTTGAAAAGAAAACCGAGGAAGAAGGGCAGTTACTACGTGTTTATGCGTGGTGAAATGAAACTACTTTTCTGTTCTTGGGCATCAGCTACAGAAATCTCCCATGGTTACAGAGGCTGCAAAAAAAAGCTTTAAAAACTAAGAATAATTTGTACCTTCAAAACCTGTTTTGAGAAATATTTTTAAGAAAAACCGATGTAGAGTGAGACGATGTCTTACTTGAGCAAATCATTAGTATTTCCCTCTGCTAAAACTACAATGTTTATTGTACTTCACGAGCGAAATGTTCATTATATGACACCTAATCGAGGTGCCCAATAAGCACAATCAGGGGCGTACAGCCAGGGTGTGGCACACCAATCCTGTGCCACCCCCCCCTTTAATTTTTTTCGCCATGGCACATAGAGCGAAAAAATGACTTCAAGGGGATTCCCCTCTCGAAAACAAGGAGGTGCCCCCCCCCCCCCCCAAAAAAAATTTTGGCAATGTGCCTGGGCACAATAATGGTTTTACCAATTATATATTAAACATTCCCTTCTACTAAGGTATACTAATGAGGTTACACCTAAGATGTGGACGACCTTGTACACTTTACAAGCTTTGTACAGAAATAAGGCTTGGACAATGACTCCAAGTGCCACATTTACGTTACTGTGTTTCTTGAGGGTACTTTCCCTGTTCCTTTTCGAAAAGTGGCATTCTTTTCAACCACCAACTAACCTGTCGGCTAGGACACTAAGAACGAGGTAAATATTGCTGCATATGAGTAATTTACGGGCGCGTTAGGTAAGAAACAGCTGCCGCTTTAACAGGTTCTCGGTATTTCGTTCTCTCTATCCAATTCATGTGGTAGAAACCGTTCAGGATACCGCTGAATAATCTGAAGCATTATGTATAATGTCGTCTTAAAATATATAAAAATATAATCATGTTCAGTCTTCTCCCCCCCCCCCCCCCAAGATTCTTTTCATCTCTGAATTGTATTTTCACACTCAAGCTTCATCACTTAACTCTACTATGCAAAAACCGATTTCTTCTCTACCATGAAACCTATCACACAACTTAACAGCGCGTGATACGCCACTGTCAAAGCTACATTCACTGTGATGCATCTGTAAAAAAAGAGAAAGCATGGTTAGTAGGTTAGTTTGATGCTTCTGTTTACTAGCAATGAAACAAAAAAAATCAGATTTCGCTTCTCTTTGTATTATAGTGTAAGCTTTATGCAAAGCCCCAACCACTGCTTCGTATTTTCTCCCCCGTTTGGTAACAAAAATTGACTTCCTTAAGGCACTGGAACTTTTGCACAGAAACCACAAACAAAGATTGCTTAATCCATGGTTTAGTGTTTAACAATATTACTTCTCAAGAGTCGAAATCTCCGTCATTATTGGATGAAGCAACACATCTTTTTGTTATCACCTTTTCTGTTCACGTACTTAATGCTGCCAATTTACTTCAAATTATTTGCATCCGTGCAACATGTTAAAACATATTCCAATATACAGAAACCCATACACGTATTTGACATGCCTTGGAAAGCCCTATTTGTGTTGCGTTCGTGGAGCATAAGTGCAAAAGAACCAGTGATTTGATCAGCAACTCTTGAAAACAAGATTTAGAATTACTTCTTCAGGCTGTTGACCACGGACAATTTTTCTAAAAAGTTATACACTCAAACCTCCTTATAACAAAATTGCACCTTACACTAAACTGACTTCGTTATATCCGAAGAAACATTATAAAGGTATATCTCTAACGCTGAAATTATTGCAAAGCCATACTTTATTTACTTTGGTATAACAAATATTTTGTTTTATCCAGGTTTGTTATAGTGAAGTTTGAGTTTTATTACAGCGTAATCACCACTTCTAGAGAGGCAGCACTGCCCAGCATTCCATCCCGCGTCCGTGTTAGCCATGCACTCAGCTCCAGAACTGTCGTGAAACCAGAAAGCCACGAGGGTAAGAAGGAAAGCGTATTACGCTCGTGTGGGAAGTGCCGGCGTTTTACCACCTCTTACCCTGAATTTGTGGCGGACCCGTAGGGGCGACGTCGCCTGAAAATACGCACAAAAAAAAATTCTGCTCGGCCCTGAACAAGCCAATTTCTACGATGTGAAAACAGCACAACAATTACGTTACTTATGCAGCTCTAATAGAGCCGTTTTATTTTTTTTGCGTAGCTCAATTTTGCTTCTGCGTCCCGTTGGGAAACTGCCAGTAGTCTCCACCACCGCCATTGCTTTTTTGCGTTGTTTCTTTCTCTTATTTTTATTTTATTCTATAGCCCCGCAGGTTTCTTTCATATACTAATTGAAGGTGTTTAATTATTTTTTTTTCAATTATCATCACCATTGTTTTGAAGGAACGTTTAAGCTTGGAGAAAGTTGAATCCTAAAACGGTGCGTTGGGGCTGACCCCCTGCTTTGGCTATCTGCCATCATGTAGGATCCGCGCTACTACTGCAGATTTATCTTAAAAGGCTGTCCAAGTGGGTCATCTTTCGTCACTGTACTGTATAACAGGGCTTTAATGCGACCGTTTGTCTCTTCTTCAATCAATACTGTCAATTTTCTTGGCATGTATGTTCTATTTTACGTGTGTTAGGAAAAAGGGTAGTCGTCAATTATCTTCTTTGTGACGTCATTAAAGTCTTCTTTAGGGTGAAAGTATGGGCAAGCTGTCTCTAGTTACAATTCCCAAGTGTGAACTGACTGTCCCTACACTTTCAAACTTCATGCAAATATCAATGGTAGCTGGCTAAAGGAGGACTCCAGTTTAGTCCAGTCAAATGGAGCCTGATGTAATCGGTGATATCGCTTGGCTCGAGAGGGATGAAGATCGGGGGTGGGAGAGGAGTTGGAGGGTGTCATTGCAGTGTGACTGAAAGGTCTTTATTGTTTATTTGAACTTTGTACGTATCCTGATGAGTCCCGCCTAATTAGAGAGAATTCTAATCGCTAACGACATCAAAAATGACGCGCTAGCTCTCACATAACAGCATTTCTTTGCAAAATACAAGAACGATCTGAAACTTGCACATTTTCAAGATGGCTTAGTCACGATATTCCGTTGCATGGTTCCCACGTGTTCTTGTAAAAGTGACCAAAAGTTCACGGCTCAGAACACACATTTAGTACTTCGTCCCTAAAACTGAGCTGCGAAGTGATTACGCATTAAAATGGCATATCAAGAAGTGTAAACCATCTTGTTTTGTAACTTTTTTGAGTTTGTGTTTCATTATTATATTTTAGATGATAGCGCACCCGAGCAACGTTTTGATAACATCGTGCGAGCGTCGACCTCAGAATGCTGTATTTTCTAATACATCGGCAAGATGCAACAAGTGTAGTGATGCAGGCATCGGCGTCACGCCTCTGTCTGAATGCATATTCCCACCAATAGTACATATGCATCTCAAAGAAGCCAGCGCAGCAGAGGGCGCTCTCAGTGCTTGGGCATCACGTAAAAAATCTTTGTTACTACTCGTCTACGCTAGGCGCTGTATTGTCAAATAGTCAATGGTCACGCGATTTTACTATGAAATCGCTAGCGTGCACATTTGCTGATATAACCTAGAACTTTGCGCCCGCGGTTCCGTAAAATTAATCGCTTCTTTATGTTACCACGTCTTTAGCACGTAATGGCAAAATGTCTTTCGTTAGATCACTGTAATTTGCAAGAAATAAGGAGAAAAACAAAGCACTGCGAGTGGTTACTACATGTACTATGTCAACAACATTTATAGTTTACATTTACCGCAAATTTTGGCAGTTTAGTGCACTCACTGTTAGCCCCGCCTCCTCTGGCGCCGTTCTCGACGTGACGGTTGTCGAAGTCGACGAAGTAACCCGGCGGCGGTGCCTTCTTGGCGCCACGTCGTTGGTAAAAAAACAGTCCCACTGCGATGAGCACGATGAGAAACACCGCGACGACAACGCCGGCAATGACTCCCGTGTTGACGCCGGACTGGTCCGGCACAAGCTTGACGGCACCCACCGGATAACTCATACCCGCGTACACAATCTGCGTATTGTCAACGTGTACAAGAAATCAATGCTATATCACCTTGATTTTTTTTTTGCATATGTCTTAATGCGCTTCCTACATAGATATTTTGCAGCCAATATAATAACTGCGTTCAATACGTTTTTGTTCTTACGTGTAACAAATTGGGGCTCAGGGGCAAAAGGAAAAAGACGAGAGAGAGAGGGAAAGTCTTTGTAAACTCAGACCCCATATCTTTGGTTAAGTTTTTTTCAATGGTGGTATTACATCGTTTATTGGCGAAACTGTTAAGAGGGAGGGGGGGGGGGGCAAAAAAGGACCAGGTTTTCGAGTTTTAAAATAGATTCTAACCTGTAATATACAACAAAAATGTAGTATTGCCTAAAATCAGTCAACAGAATAGTGTGTTAAATTTATGCACGCAGATAATAAGTACGACAACAAGTAGGAAAATATGTTATAAAATGTATTCCGAAGTTATCGTAAAAAAAGCAATGAAAGCTCGCGTCATATTGCGCACTAGATGCCTCATGACGCACACTGAGGTAAAGGAATTGGAGGCAATGTTTGAGGTGGTTCGAGGCCATTACAGCTAACATTGCCATAACTTTCATTGTAGGAAAAAAAAAGGATTGTTCTTACACAATACCATTGAAAATCCGCCGAAACTTGCTTACGGCATAGTTACATAAGATTTTTGTCGTGCCCAAATGTTTAAGTAAACCACATACCACATAATACCACCAAACGTCAGTACATATTTTTTTTTCTTTGGATCACTTGGTTTGAACCTTCCAACATCCTTACCCTGCCTCATGTGGATACAAACTTTTTTTTCATAGAGTGGCAAGGGAACGCGGACGTTTTTTTTTTTCTGTGTACCTCCTACCAAATATAAGAGTTTAAAGCTGCCTCACCAGTTGTATATTGTCGTGAAGTAGTGTAATAAATTACAACATTGATTACTCAAAAAAGTCCTCAAATTGGAGAGAACGTTACAAAAGAAAGACAGGTAATCGACTAATTACACAACAAAGCGTGGCTAATCCCCCTATTTAGGCATCGGTATAACAGGATAGTGAAACGTGTCTTGAGATAGATAGTTTAGCGTTTATTCCGCATTCTTTCAGCAACAGCTGCAAATTGCAAATTCACGTGAAGAACGGCAAGGAGCTCGAAACTTGCAGCGCACACCTCAAGCAGAAAGCACGCACGAAATTAGCATACGCAGGACGAGCGCGGACTCACAACTGTCACAGCTCGACACATGAAGCGCGTTTCAAACTGAAATAAAGATGCACGAAACGAGGGCACGAGTATACACATGACAAGCGTGAACAACTGTCACAATTATTCCTTCCTGGCGAGTCTGCAGCACGCTCCTTTCGTAAACGCGGCCACGGCAGCGAGCGAAGGGGCCTTCGTCTTCTCCGGAATTACGAGTCTGATAAGTGCGCGGAGTAAAGACCCTGCTCCATCGATACGACGACCTTTAGAACGCGCCCAACGCTAAACCCAATGCGAGCCCGCTAAACCCAATGCGAGCCCGTCCTGATATCTCGCTACTGATAACGAAAACGCGCTAAAGTTTCGGAGCTCTGAGGACCGCCATACGATGAGTGCTGTATATAAATGGCTTGCCGTTAACATTCCGGACAACGTACGCTTTGTGGCGTAGTGGTTAGTGCCACGCGCTTCGAATCGGGAAGTTGCTGGTTTGACTCCACGCGACCAAGTTTTGCCTTCGTGTTCATTTCTATGCAATCTGTTAGCATACATCTTAAAACGTCATATCCGTGACGAAAATACGTCATCAGAGCCGTGGTGAAACCCGGCATGGAATACTTTCGTGCTAAAAATCGGTAAATTTGCGGTTGATTATCGCACAATGTTTTCTTCATGTACAAGCGTGTTGCTTACAGACGCCATTTGGATCCTTGATCGAGCCCACTCGCACACTTACGTCGAGGGAGTGAGGCAAGTTCTCGTCGAGCATACCAGGCCTCAGGACACACACGATGACACCAGAGCTGATGGTGGTGACGTTGCACGCATTGTCAATACCGTCGACTCGGACAGACACCTGGTCACTGTCCTGGAGGACTTCGAAGTGGTTTCCCTGAGATAAATGAGGCGAACTTAGGCACACTGGTGACAGGGCTTCGACTGAAAAGCAGGATGGTTAGTCAACGTACATTTGCTTACATGGTATTCTACTTGGATGACACGAACACTCGTACATTGAATATCCACAGGACAAGAAACCGCTTAATCGTCGTTCCTTTCATCTCGGTGTAAAGTAGCACAATATATGATGTGAGGCAGAGATGTGTCACTACACTTAAAACGTTGGAACACCCTTCTATTTCCAGTGAATGACACACGCTGAGTCATTGTATGCCACTTGCGTTTTAGAGTTACACTGTTGAAACGCATAATTACAAAACTCTGGGAAAGAAAAGACCAGGCACTAGGAAAGAAGGTATCAGTTAAGCAGCCTGCAACACTTTGGAGCCAGCATGACGGAATAGAAAAAAAAATTGTACAAAAAAACTTTCCACGTAAATAAACACTCCTCGCGGGCATGAAGTTTTTCACCACGCTCTAATGCATGTAATGGCTGGAATATTTGACTTCATAAAAGTGGGAGTCGTGGTTAAACATTATCCCATTGCCGTGTTATCCAAGTGCGTCGATCTGTATCAGTCTGCGTCTCTCTCTGTGCGTGTTTGTGTGCGCGGAAGTACACGTGCAGATCGTTTTATCACAGTAATACACAGAAGTGGCTGGTATGTTTATACGGTGTTTATACGTAAATAGCACATAGACAATAATATTTTGTTTTTTTTTTTTTTTTGCTCCAGAACATTTCTTAGAACAAGTCCTATAGGTCGAACGTGTACTCAGCGCACTCACTGTGATCTGTACGGTGGGCTTGTCGGGGTTGATGCCGAACCCTTCTTCTGGAAAGCGGTCGAAACGCGGCGACGGCCTGTATACGAAGTTGAAGTGGCCTTCCGACGCGTCCGGGCGATTCGGCAGGTGCAGACCGTCCAGCTCGAACTTAACCTGCACCAAAATGGGCAGCAGGTGTGCTTCCAACTGCGCGGGGCTGATCACGGTGGAATCCTTGAGCGACGACACGGGACACAGCATCCGTTCGCCACCTTCCACAGCACGACAGACCTGCAGGAAACGACACGAAATTTTTTGGGGGAAAAAGTGTGACATTTGAAGAGAGCCGTGAAAATGGAGCTTGCTCTTTAATAATATTGAAGCGTGCCTTTCTAAAGTATACGAACTTGCCTTCCGTTTCAGCAAGGAAAATGTCGCTTCATCACGACACTTTAACGTGTACTGCAAGCTTTCTTTCGACACAAACTACCGCTCTTCTCTTTCTCTCTCTTCTTTTGATGTGGTTTCACTGTGGCAAAAACGCGACAACCGAACTTCACCGGACGATACCGTACCAAACGAACTTAAATATGGCGAGGTTATGCGTTAAAGTACACACCAGTGTAAATGATCGGCAAGCACTACACATTTCTCTAAACGTGATGGCACATTCGTTCGGCAACACCAGTGACTCACCTTTCTGATGTACTCGTGCCTCTTGTGGTTGAGAGATGTCAGCCTCGTTACCATGACAGGCTCGTAAACACTGTCCAGATGAGCACCCCTCACCACTATGGTGGTGTTGCCCCTGCAAAGATGGCCTAATGCATCGTTCCTCTGCGCATGCTCCCGCAAAAGCCACAATGTACTTCCAGGAAGTCGATGCAAGCATGCATTTCAGATCTGCCTGTAAATGTTTGCACACTGTAGCCTCAGAAACAAGTGACAGTCATCGCGCACCGCACCATGGGCAGTCTACTCACTTGAATGTGGCTGTTTTAGGCGAGATGTCTGTGATCTCTGGGTCCGGCCTGTAGGTGAACAATGAACTGCTGTCGCCGTCCTGGACGAAGGGAACCTCGGTGCCGTCTATGGTGAGAGTGACTTGCACGTCTTTGTGGACACTTTCTGCGGGCGCGGCAGTGGTCGTGCACTGGAGGAACTTCCTTTCGCTCCTGAGTAGAATCAATCAAAAGTAACAGTTTCGACACAGGGGCGAAGCAATGAATGCGATAGCAACATATTCGGACGTTTTACGACGCAAGGCTAGCATTTTGAGGAGCAATAACTATTGTAGTAAACATGCGCTTGCTAAGTAATCAACTTTCCTGCGGCGCGGTCAGATGACCACAACATGGCTCGAGCGCGCAGTGACAGCGTTGATATACCAAGTGAGGCTGGCAGTCAACTCATCTGTATCCGATCTCATGTAGCGCTGTAGCGCTACAAAAGGCTGGTGCAAGAGAACACGGCCGCTCCAGGTACACTCTTGGCACCGTTTTTTTCGTGTCGAGAGCGCTGGCCGTGAAAGCTCCCGCCTGATGTGGGGGCACAAGGCGCGCGCTGATTGCGGCCGCGGTAGCACGGCAACCATAGCCCCCCCCCCCCCCCCCCTGTTCATTCGCGAGATAACACGTGCGCGCAGACTACCTAGGCCCGAAAGCGATGTTCGCTAAGCAGAAAGTGCGAGCTAGCGCATCCTTCTTATATATATATATATATATATATATATATATATATATCATATATATATATATATATATAATATATATATATATATATATATATATATCGCAAGGTTATAAATATGAAGTAGATGCGCTTCCACATAACACTGTTCATTGTGCCGACGTTTCGACGAGAACCCAGTCTTTTTCAAGGCATAATGCCTTGATTATGCCTTGAAAAAGACGGGGTTCTCGTCGAAACGTCGGCACAATAAACAGTTGTTATGTGAAAGCGCATCTACTTTCATATTATATATATATATATATATATATATATATATATATATAATATATATATATATATATATATATAGATATATATATATATATATATATATATATACACATATATATATACAGTGCACCCCCCAAGCTGAATCGGAGATTGCCCCGCAAAATCACACATACCGGAATGCTTCAGTGAACTTTTACGCTTTCAGTGCCTACCTGTATATCCTACACGGGCTCTCACCAATGGTGACGGTCTGCTGCGACCCGATGTTAAGGTTTACTCCGTGGAGAGTTATGTTGGTTCCGCCTGAAGCGGGTCCGTAGTTTGGTTGCAAGCCAGTGAAAGTCGCAACCTGCAAAGGAAAGGTGTGCGACAAAAAACGAACCTTCAGAACGAAGAGCTTCAAAAGAAAAAAAATTTACAAGAGAGGAAAGACAGGTATATTCGCCAGCCTAGAAAAAACCTGTATGCTAGCCAGAAGTGACGAAATGGACGAGGGAGTTAGAAAGGTAAATGTGGAAATTTTATGGGTTCTAGTATTGTGTAACCTAAAGCCAGTGGCACACACCCCATCTCGGGAAGTCGTCAAGACCTGAGCAGTTTCGTGAATATGTTTATAATATACAATTTCTATAAAGAAGAAATCGGATAGAAATTATTCAAAAGTATTAAGGTTAACTGGAAGATCAGGTTTCATAGATAAGTTCGTGAAATCAAAGAAATCGCAACCTAATCAGTGCAAGCCTATTGCACACACATTTGTTTACTCTTAATTGCTTGGGATCCTATGAATGCACTCGACCACTATGCTGTAAAAAGAAGTCCATTTCGGCTGTTTTCAAAAGACTGCCTCTACCACCCATATTAATATGTATCAATAAAAGGTCACGAATACATTATGTGCACACTAGAATGAACAAGATTATATCAACCCGGCTGCGGTGGCTGCATTTTCGATGGAGGCGAAAATGATGTAGGCCCGTGTGCACAGGTTTGGATGTACGTTAAAAAAACCGAGTTGGTCGAAATTTCCGGAGCCCTCCATTGCGGCGTATCTTATATGCCGGTTTCGGAACGCTAAACCCAACATAACAATCATTGAACGATTGATTTTATATGTGGGGTTTAAACGTCCCAAAACCACCATATCATTTAACGTGCACCCAAATATGAGCACACGGCAATACAGCATTTTCGCCTCCATCAAAAACGCAGCCGCCGCATTCGGGATTCGATCCCGCAACCTGCGGGTCGGCAGCCGAGTACCTTAGCGACCAGACCACCGCAACGGGGCCACATATCAATCCGTCACGGTTATATCAAAAACGCGATGGAGGCGAATGTGCTGTAGGCCCGTGTGCTCAGATTTGGGTGCACGTTAAAGAACCCCAGGTAGTCGAAATTTCCGGAGCCCTCCAATACGGCATCTCTCATAATCATATGGTGGTTTCGGGACGTTAAACCAACTTATCAATCAATCATATCAAAAACAACATGTACACTGTAACGACGAGAAATAAGAGACAACGCCTTTGCTGCAGGCCGGCTGTTCTTTATCTGCTTCGTCTTCCTCCGCTTCCGTCACCCTGCCTGCGCCCTTGCCTGAGCCCCACTATTTATTATCATTACACTCGGCCCCGACTGCGAGCCTCGTGGGCTACCGACAATGTCTCCGGTGGGCGGCATTGACTATTCCGGGGTGGCCGGGCTCGGCCAAGCTGATATTTCACATGGAAGTTTGTTGAAGGAGATTCCGGAGGACGACACTGGCTGTGACGTGATGGTCGGTGCAGGCGTCGTCCACGATGGGGCCAACGCTGTTGACTTGGACAAGATGTCGCTAGCAGGAGATACAGACTCCTGCAAAGTGGCCGCGTTGGTTTAATCTCGTCGGTTTGAGCATCCTGTCGCAGTCGTGTTACAAATGCTGGAAATAGTCCACGCTGCACCGTCACCTGCTGCACTGAGCGTCGACGCCTGCGTTGCTTGCGGTGTGGCAAGGGGCGTCGGGGTGTCTTTGTAGTCATCTGAGAGCCGAGTTCAGGTTGCAGCTTGAGAGGCAACGCGTGCTCTTGCAGCACTGCCTTTGTCGGACTCATGCTCAAGCTGCTTATTCCTATAGTTTCACGTGCAGTAGAGCCTTCATTGTCAGATGACCTGTCACTAACCGGAAGTATTACCTTCTCTGGTAGGTCTTTGCTGACAGTGACTTTGAAGGAGGCGGCGCTTAGCGTGTGGCAGACGTCCGCACACTCGGCCACAGACTGACGTGATATCAGGAGATGTCGCTTCGAAGTGAGGGTCAACACTGTAGGGTTGTTCGTCCCAGGGTAGGTGGTTAAATTGGCTGTCGGGAAGCTGCAAAATACAGCTGAAGCCGCGAGGGTGGTCTCCTTCTGGGATCTATTCTCGGTAGCGGTCGCGTAAGACTGGGTGGTCGTGGAGAGGTGATGGTGACTCCGTCCAAAAGCAGCTATGAGCTTGTCACTCCAGTCCACCCAGGATGTCTGCCGCACGCCTTCGTATCGATGCCAAGCCGCGGCAGCATTCCGAAGGCGGTCTATGGCCATGCCCCACTTCTTTTGGTCCGTCCACGCTGCGTGATCTCCGACAGCGTTGACGGTTGCCACCCATTCCTTGGCATCGTCCTGGAAGCCGCGAAACTCCGGTAGCTCGAAGGAAATCGGCGATGGCGGGACTGCGGGCAAAACTCCGAAATGTGCCCACGCCAAGCAGTTCACTTGCTCTGATACCTCCGTGAGAGAACGCCCGAGATTGCGACGGTTCTCGGGCGAGCTTACCTCGAAGTTTTGTGAGGCGGCCGCAGCCAACATGGCATTGAGTGCGCACAATGTTGGCAAGATGGCAGGACATAGCTGGGAGCTCGACGCTATGAGGGCGTTGGTCGTGACGCGGAGTTGCGCGATGGTATGCTGCAGCTCCGCTGCGCTGTCGTGTGATCCGCACGAAGAGCCAAGGCCCGGCTCTGCGGAGGATACAGTGACTGCGGTACTCGAGGTGGTACAATTGCTGACCAAGGACGCGTGGACGGCGTCCCTTGGAAATCCAGCTGTGGTAGGAATCGTGGACATGGGTTCCAGGGCGCTGGAAGCGTCAACGACGTTCCCAGGCAAGCGGAACCCGTGTGATGAGTTGTGACCTGGTACTGTGGCGTAGATGAAGCGGTCTTGCGCCGCCGGGTAGGCCTCGACGCCGTACACGGTGGGTGCTTGAAGCGCCGACAGGTTGCCAGGTATGGAGGAGGCATGTACGCCATCCCTAGGTGAGAGAGGCCCGTGCGCATGGTTGCCGCGACGTGTCGCGTCCCAGGACAAGTTTCCCGGAACCACAACGGAGGCCTGGACGCCATCCGTCGGTGCTGGGATCGATGCTGGCCGCGACGGACGCCTTGCGGGTTCCATCAGCGAAGAAGCGTGACGGCGTTCCTTATCGTGAACTGGTACCGGTAACGGGTGCTGGAGCCGCCGAGGAGGCCTTGACGCCGTCCCCGAACGGTGGTGTCAGTAAACAGCTGCCGAGGAGGGCTTGACGCCGTCCTCAAGCGACGCTTACCGCGGCTGCACGTCGGCGGGCGTTCTGGATGACGAAACCGAGACGTAAGCCGTTTTCTTCGTCGACTGCGCCATTGTAACGACGAGAAATAAGAGACAACGCCTTTGCTGCAGGCCGGCTGTTCTTTATCTGCTTCGTCTTCCTCCGCTTCCGTCACCCTGCCTGCGCCCTTGCCTGAGCCCCACTATTTATTATCATTACAACACGTACATGTCGAGAGCAGTAAAGGTATTTTTGACAAGCTGCATAACAGTCGCGAAGGTCGATCTTGTCAAATTGCAAAAAATAATTCACGTGTGTTCTTCATCGCAGGGACGAGTGACGTTCGCACAAAAGCACCCAACTAACTCACCTCATATTCGAAGCCCTCGGCAATGGTGCGCTGGTCCTGAACGTCGTATTTCTTCATGTCGTCCCAGTGAGTATCATTTACGGATATCATGATATCCGCTTTGGTGCCGTATTGGCCAGGCGGCGTTTTGCACTGGACCCTGTAAAAGTGCGGCAGGAATACAGCCAGTAAGCCGTTAGCACATGTCGATGCTGGTACCCATTACGATTACCTTTACAGATTTTAATAATCAGAGGTGTATAAATATTTGAGAAAGGCGAAAAAAAAAGATTACGCAACTCTGATTCGCGCATGGTCTAAGGATAAAGAAATATTCCATTACGCTAACGAAATAAACTATTTAAAGTCGGATAGAGGACAAGAGAGCTATATAAAAATGTCTAGGTTGGTAATATCGAAAAAGGTTGAAGTCACTGATGACGTCATGTGAATGTCAGTGCGCCGTCAGCCACATAGACGCATCGATATTTCCAGACTGTCATAACCTCCCTGTCCTTCCTCATTTATTCCTCCTCCTCCTCCTCCTCCTCCTCCAGACTGTCATATATGCAACGCTTTACCCTTAAAATGTTCCTATGTGCACTCTCCTCCTGGCTTCTATTGCACGTTGTTCCGCCAATCGATGCGTATATACGTAGCGTTGTTTGTCAGCGCACGCGCAGTGAACCGCTCGAGTAAGCTTCGACGCATGTAATTAAGGGGCAGCGAATCAATAAACTCACAGCGTGAAACTCCACTGGATGATGTCGCACGTGTGGTCGCCCACTGTGATCTCGATGCTGCTGCCGGGCTTGTGATGGGGGTCTCCGAAGTTGTCGCCTTGGAAAGTGAGCAAGGTGCCACCCGTTGTGGGGCCCTTGGTCGGAGAGACCTGCAATGAACGCACCCCAAGGCAGCTCGTTCAACCGCATTCGCTTATCGTCGATATCGGACTTGCCTCGGCTTCGAAATATAAGTGTTAGGCTGCTAAATGCCAAAGTACGCGTGAGATGAACGCACCAGCGCGCGTCACCACGTCGTGACGATCTGGTGACGCGCGCTCCTCACGCCATCTCGCTGGCAATGCTGAAAACACCATAGTTCCCTCGAGATCGCCAGCGGTAAGTGGTAGATATGAATAGCTTGCCATTTCATCGTTGAAGAAGAGGCGCTCCTTCGTGACTCTGTGGCTAACGCCACGCACTCACAAGCAAGAGGTCGGACGTTCGATTGCGCGTGGCGGACTCTTTTTCTGGATTATTATTCTTTGTTGCGTTTTTACACATGTATACCTATACGGTGATTGACGGCGATCACCAGCGCCGACGTCGGCCACAAATACAGCCAAGAGTGTCCATATACTTGTCATCACATTAACCAAAAACGGGACACTGCAATAAACGAAGCCACAACTGCGTTCGAAGCCTGCAAGCAGGAAGACTAGGCAAATCCGTGTACAACCTATGATTCCCGTAGTCGCTGAATGATTTTAGGAAATTCTATGGGTAAAACCACTATGGGCATAGTCAACTGTAGCATATTGAGTGCTCAAAAGAACTCTTCTTCTCATGTCCTTCAAGTGCCTTGATGATGATAATAAGTCCGGAGCACTATAGGAGCCCGGGCTGTCGTCGCTTGACCTTGCATGGACCAAATCACGCATAAAAATTGATAAAGAGAAAGCAAGACAGAAATATGAATAGAAAGCAAAGGAATATAATCTAAATGAGTATAACAAAAGAAGAGAAAAGTGGAAAAGAAGAAGTAAGAAATGGAGGATGAAAGAAAGAGAGAACAGAAGACAACAGAAGAGAAAGAAAGATGGCTTTTAAGCTCGGCACTTCCTTCAGGCTTCGCATTACTAGGGCGAAGCTGCCCCAATTTTTTATTATCATTATTATTAGAGTATCTTGTTGAAACGAATGGTGCATGCGCCGAGTACGGCTATGCACATGGCTGCCGTGCACGGTCTTAAATGTTAATTACACTGTTTTTTATATGTATAATGATGCTCGCGGAATGGTTTGTTTGCTGCAGTGGCCTCAAGCTTATCAAGGCGTTGTGGGATCGATTAGTGATGTAATTCATACGGCGTAACGGTGCTACAGCGATCCCGCACCGATCACTTTGGGCAAGTAAAAAACGCATGTGGATATAGGTAATCTGTAGTCATTCCTCAAACACCCTTTGTGAAGTCGTCAACCAGTTATCCTTTGCTTCGGGGTAACCAGTTATGAGGTAATCTTGCGTAGGGGTAACCAATTGATCATTAATCGCCTCTCTGTTACGGTTCTATAATCAAAGCCCGGTGTGCTTAAGGCCACACCACCACTTTTTTTTTTATCTTCGCTTGTGTAAGTATACACACACCCATGCAAACACGCGCACGAATATACATAAAGAATGGATACTCCCGAAAAAGAATTCTGGCCACACGCCTGACCCTGCACTTCGAGTTAGGTGCACGTTAAAGAACTCCATTGGGTCGCAATTATTGCAGAGTCTTTCCCTATGGCGTGCCTCACAATCAAATCATTGTTATGACGCAAAAATCTCAGCGATTCTCCGTAAGCCCCTCGACCCCATCCTATACGGATGTGCAGTACTTTAATTAGAGCTACCAGTTTAGCAATGACCGTCTCACGCATTCCTCGCTTAAAATACATTCTTCCGCACACCCGCGACTGCGGAAGCGGAAACGCAGCGCTGACTCACGTAAGACACACTTCTCCGCCGCGTGGCACGTCTCGTTTTCCAGAAACAGCGATGGAACGCAAAGGACGCATCGTTACCGGCGCACGCCTTGGTCGTCAGCGTCAAATGCGAAAGAAATCGTGCATCGTTCTCTACGCCGTAGCTCATAGAGCTAATGTGTAAGGCCGTCAAATACATGGTTCTTCTTGAAAGTCAAGCAGTGTAACGCTTACGTGCTGCACAGCAAGCGCCTTCATCTATAGTCGATGTTTACATTTTCTTTGAAAACTATACACGCGAGATGGACGGGGATCTATACAGGGACTCAATCTGCAATGTAAGTCACAGCCGCGTTCGCTTGTGACTATCACGCTGTTTCTGCAGTGACAGAGGTGACTTTTAACTTTCTGGAGCACACTTAAGAGCAGGAAAAGTACCGTTTTGAAGCAGTTAGAAGTGTTTTTCAGGATATAAAAAAAAATATTAGTTTGGAGCATTTCATGGTGTTTTAGGAGCAGACACAAAATTTGCCATACACCGTTTGTCGTACAAAGCATCGCCGAAGCATCTCGTAAATAGTAATATTTATTGAAAAATACATTTCGCAGACAAAAAGTAAAGTAAATTTCGAGAAGCAAGCAATTAAAAAGATGACTGGTTCTCGACAATGTGCAGCGAAATGAGCTATACAGGGTGTTTCAAGAAATGTGTCCAATATTCTTTAAAAATCACAGAAAGGAGATATCTGCGTGCGTACTACTTGCGGCGTTGCCTTTCTTGTGACAGAAGGCATGTTCAGATGCGTACAACCATTAATTACGATAGTAATTATATAAATTAACACAATTAACATTTTAACCAGTGGTGATAGCCCATCGAGTCAAATGGGCGAATTCAAGTCTTTTCTACGAATAGTTCATAGCCACTTCGAAATTTTCGAAAAGCGGCCACTGGTAATCACCGCAGAGCGATGCAAGGATCCTAATTTAGCCGGAGAAACCGAAACCTCAATGACGGCACTCACTGTTTTCCTCGCATTGGGGAGAAGAATAAGCGAGCGTCGATTAGCAGCCTCGAAGTGAATTGTCTAAATTGACGGTTGATAACGGCGAGGGGAACAGTATCGTCACTGAAGTCATTGTTGAAGTGAATGGTAGATGCGCTGTTTGGTGCGTCGGTTTCGGCTTCGCCAGCTAAATTGGCCAGACTGCAACACTCCGCGATGAAAAGATGCGAGATGGAGGCAAACTTTCACTAGATGGACGTGCGGATGGACGGAGAGATGCACGGACAGACAGACGCACGGACGAACGCAGGGACAGACGCGCTGATGACGCACGGACGGACATATGCACGGACGGACGCATGGACAGATGGATAAACGCATGGGCGCACGGATGGACGCTTCGCCCCACTCGTTATCATTCAGTCCGTGGATACGCAGCGACTTTTTTAACGCGCGCGCTATGAATAACGTACAGGAGGAGAAATTTACCACCAGCACTACTTTGGACGTCAAATTCCAGAGCTATATATACGGGGTGGCCAGCAAACGCTTGTGCAGCACGAGCAGAGGAGGGGGCGTGCATGCACAATGGGTGTGTAACGCCGCAGGGAGGGATGCCTAGAAGAGAGAGAGGGGGAGCGAGCTTAGCCCAATGTTTTTAGAAATCTAAAAATGTTGCCTAGCAGACGCTGCCTGCATCGGCGTTGCGAGGCGAGAGAGGGGCGAAGCGTACGAGAGGAGGGGAGGCGGCGCGCTTGCGCACCCATTTTATACACACACTTGAAAGAGAGTAGCGCATGCACCGTGCAAGCAGAAGCGAGAACACAGAAGTGCAAACAGGTGATTTGATTGATATGTGGGGTTTAACGTCCCAAAACCACCATATGATTATGAGAGACGCCGTAGTGGAGGGCTCCGGAAATTTCGACCACCTGGGGTTCTTTAACGTGCACCCAAATCTGAGCACACGGGCCTACAACATTTCCGCCTCCATCGGAAACGCAGCCGCCGCAGCCGGGATTCGAACCCACGACCTGCGGGTCAGCAGCCGAGTACCTTAGCCACTAGACCACCACGGCGGGGCAAGTGCAAACAGGTGGTAGGAGAGAAGTGAAGAGAGTGACCTGCAGATGTTGGAGAGGGAAGCAGCAGAGTTGCGCATGCGCAGTGCAAATGCAGACGCCGACACCTACGCCTCGAGACGTAGATCTGAGAAAGAAAGGCTCTATATCTAAATAATTGGCCGCGTATCTGCGTGCTTCGTTGCAAATGTCGAAAAAAATTGGCAGCATATCCGCGGAGTGAGAGTGGGGCGAAGCATTCATTCGTCCATTCGTTATTGCTTCCGTCCGTCCATGCGTCCGTCTGTGTGACCGTCCATGCGTCCATCCACCCGTCCCTGCGTGCGTCTGTTCGTGCGTCCGTCCCTGCGTTCGTCCATGCATCCGCCCCTGCGTCCGTTCATGCGTACATCCATGCATCTGTCTGTGTGTCTGTTCATCTATTCAACACTTCAAGTACCACCGTCTCGCATCTTTTCATCATATATTCCTCACATAGAAACACCGCCAACCAGTGGACATTCCAAGGACTAAACGAGAGGTGGTACACGCATACTTTCTTACGGCTAGCGCTTCGGGTCTACTTCCCACCTTTAACCCCCTCGAGTTCATGGTATATACTAGTTTATTGTATTCATGGAACTGCGGCTCAACGCTCGCTAAACCTTTCCAAAACTAAGGAGGTTACAGCCAGCGAGTGTAACGTAGCAACCCTTTCTTGTCAGATAGTGCTCAATGTACATACAAGTGGCTGCTAATGGTGAATGAGAGACGGGAGCATTTGGCTTTTAGTTAACGCGCACGCCGCGAACTTTTTTATTGTTCAACAAAGCGCAGGAGAAATTTCCCACCGGCACCACCTTTCTGGTGAAAATGTAACACTTGTTACACACTACGACTACGACTACGACTACGACTACAAGGGACGAACAGGCGCCGCTTTAAGAAGCTTCGCCCCTAAAACGAAAGTCTTCAGTCAGCCGTGCTGCATTAGTCGTGGTCTTGCTCCGTGGTCATGTTCTCTTACATGACTACCCGTGATGTTGTTCTAGTATTACTTCCATCCTGCAGGTGGCCACACCATATCGTCGGCAGAGGGCTTTTTCGTGCATACCGTCGCATTTTCAGCGCAGCCTAAGAAACACTAAGGTGTTTAGCATTACGTATCTATGTATATTTTTCAGTAAAGGAACACACCACCTAATACTTAGGTATTGATATTGCGCCTTAGATTTGCCTAGTATTCTATTTTGTACTGATAATGTTCAGAATTATGGACGCAACCACCAGTTCAGGATGGCTGGGCATTCGGCAAGTGGTTAAACTTTGACCAGGCGGCTGAATCGTGTGATAGACAGACATATGTGACAGTTAGACATACAAAAATACGGACTGATGAAAAGTTCCGTGTTCAAGTGTCCTAACAAGGTATCACCTTTTTTTAAAAAACTAGCCACAAGATCACAGAGACCAAAAAGGCAATCCACGCAAGTTAAGCCGGTGAAGGGCAATATCGCAATTGCACTTACGCTGTCCAGTCGTATGGGGCAGCGACCGGTGTCGAATTTCTCGCTCTCTCGACACTCGCCGTAGTGTGCGCACTGGTCTCCGCACCAGCCGCAGCGCAGCGGGTCCTCGTGACTTCGCATGCACTGCGAACACGTGTCGTAGATACTGCAGGAACCGACGGGAAAACGCACCACCTGCAAAGGCACGCGTGACACGAGACAACGGCTTCACTTCGTCTTATTGCTCGTGGTTGATTTCACGAAATATCGGAAAACGTGGTATACCTAATATAACCGATTTTTCTCGTAATCTTGTATATTGTGCCTGTATGACCGAATAGTTTGAAACCGTATTTTTTTTTCAAATAAAAAAAGTTTGAACCAAGCAAAAATCGAGAAGCATCGCCGGGTGACGATGGCCGTTTTACGAACAGTGCGTATTCGCAAATTGGCGATCATTATCTGTTGTTATCTATCTCATCCCCATGTGTAGAGAGGCTTTCCAACAGGATTCTATAGCTGTCTGTAATGACGCTGTGCGTGTTAAAAATTTCGTTATCATGTCCAGCACCAGCCCCATTAACTAGGTCACCACACGTTAGAACTTTCCACCGTTTTGTTAAACTGGGCCCACACGTCTCGCATATCATTCATCTCCATCTCACGATTCCCTTAGCCTCCACTCGGCTGCTTCTACTTTTACAAACTTTTTTGCCGATTTTTTTTCTTCAATTGCGCGTGGCACGCTCAACAATGGCACTGTTAACGTGAAAAAGCGCGCGTTTGTGAAGCTCGTAAAACGTTGAGGCTCCCGTCAACCACTATCCAGCGAGGATTCATTCACGTAATGCTGCACGCGTTCCCGCTCCAATCACATGCCACGAATCTTACGAGTCTTGTTTCCGTCACGTCTTCGCTCTTTCATATATGCGTTACTCCTGAATGACGATGCAACGTAGCAAACTCGCCTTTCGCTGTTATCGCAGATGACAACATTACAGCCTTGCTTATCTAGCTGTTTTATACGAATCAGGGAAAAAAACGGCAACACCTTATGATCCAAGAGTATAGGTAACAAGACGCACGAACAACAGCACTAGATCATACATTGTCGAACGCTACAGAATTATTCGTAATGAATTTCGCAACATGTACATATTGCGCGTTGGGCTGATGGTTCCGTCCACCTGTTTACGTTCCTACTTCCTTCTTTTTCTAACTCTCTGTTTTCCTTCTTCCCCACGGAGTAGGCGGGTGGTAGTGACCAGTTTGCTCCCTCCGTGTTTCATCTGCGTCCTGGTATCCGAATAAAAAATTAATGAATCTAACAACATCACGGCTGTGACCTAATATTCAAGTTCCTCGGTTCCTATTTTTCCCCTTTATTTTCAGATGTTCTGATAGCACTAAGGTATAACACGCGATACAACAAAGCACTTCTTAACCACTCTGCAAACTACAATGTTCTGCAAGGACAGCGTACATACTTTCACCAAAAAATTGCGTTATGAAGATGCGACACTGACCCTGTCACCCATGAGGAAATAGCCGTAAATGCCGTTTGTGTCCACGGCAGTGCTCTTGCCAATAGGAATGCCTTCACCGTCGGAGAGGTCCTTCGAGAAGAGCAGCTTCGAAGACTCACCGTGAAGAATGTACTGCAACAAACAACATATTGCACAGTCATGATCACATGGTTCCATGCAAAGTTGGCTCTAAAGTAGAAAAAAATTCCGCCATATCCACGAAGTGAATGATGATGATGAGTGGGCGAAGCTCCGGAGGTAAACCTGGTAAACCATGAATCCTCTGTATATTTTGCCCACTCGATTTTAGTACATCGCTCCCCCTAGCGTACGTCGCCGCACTAAATCGAACGATTGCCTTCAACCAATGACACGCGCCATATGTGACATCATTCCTATTTTATAAGATCTCGCGTCTTTCATCAACTACAAGTACCGCTTTCTAGTTTATAACATCTTGCATCTTTTCATCATCAGCTACAAGTACCACCATCTAGTAAACACTACAAGAACTAAACGAGAGGTGGCTACATACAGGAGACAGTACCGCCATCTAGTGAACACTGCAAGAACTAAACTAGAGGTGGCTACATTCAGGGGATGGTACCGCCATCTAGTGAACACTGCAAGAACTAAACTAGAGGTGGCTACATACAGGCTACAGGGGACGCACAGCCCACGCCCTAAGGAGCTTCGCCCCTAAAAAACAGAAGAGAGGGGAAAGCTTGCGACGTTAACCAGTCCAGAAGTTCTTGACCAGACAGAAACAGACAGCGACAGCGAAGCTGTTGGCTTACAAAGAAGCCTTCACTTCGCCAATTATTAACGCGCGAGCGTTAAAGAGCTTGTTTCGCAGATATTTCGGCGTCGGCGTCGTTGGTCGTGAGTGAAAAAATTATCATCTTGTCCATGACCAAAAAATCGACAAATATATAAAATAATAAACAAAGAAATAAAATAACAAAACCTTTCGAATGAGGATCGAACACAAGCCGTTTGCGTAACAAGCAGGCGTTTCTACCACACGTCCGCATGAAAATACAATGGAAATAATTTCTTCTGCTTGGAAATGCACTGAAAAATAATTGGCATGCTGCTTTACAAACACACGTGTACTGTATACAGGCTTCACAATACAGCACGTAATATCGCAGTAATATCACGTGGTACATGCGTACATTGCCATCGGACGTCAGAACATGTTAATGTCATACCGGCTTCGCGGTTTAAAGATGGCCACCCATTACAAAATGCACGCACGTCACTGCTCGTACTCATTTAGGAAGACGTAGTCGATGCATAGCAAGTTCGAAAACATTTCACGCCCATGATTACCCGTGGTTTAAAACATGCTACCCGTTACACAGCATTGCAGCCTTAAGCGAAAGCTTCACCGACACAAGCCATGGCACTTTCAACTTTATTGATTACCTTGTAGCAATCTACAATTTGATCTTCTGGAGTTACATTATACAATACAAAGTATGCTCTAATTGGCTGAAGTACGCACTGTATAGCAAGGATATCGCCTACCCGTTCAACTCTTTAATACGAAAATTATGGATCTTTTAAATATACGTATTAAATATTATTATTACTACTATTATTTTTATTTGCATACACAAGGACACAAAAAGGATAGAGGAAAGGAAGATAGGAATAATTGAGTTATATGTGGGGATTATCGTTCCAAAACCACCATATGGTTATGAGAGACGTCGTAGTGAAAAGCTTCCGAAATTTCGACCACCCGGGGTTCTTTAACGTGCGCCCAAGAATATGAAGAGAATGAGTGATTAAAAATTAAAAACATGTCATCCATTACCACTACGTTCCTGACTGCCAAAATGTAGCATTGGTATACATAATGCATAAAGGAAAACAAGCTTGCACTGGTAACCCGGCATTGGGCACGAATTCAACCTAAACGAAAGGTGACCTTCCCTGCCGTGGTGGTCTATTGGCCAAGGTTCCCGGCTGCTGACCCGCAGGTCGTGGGTTCGAATCACGGCTGCGGCGGCTGCATTTCCGATGGAGGCGGAAGTGTTGTAGGCCCGTGTGCTCAGATTTGGGTGCGCGTTAAAGAACCCCAGGTGGTCGAAATTTAAGGAGCCCTCCACTACGTCGTCTCTTATAATCATATGGTGGTTTTGGGACGTTAAACCCCGCATATCAATCAAATCAAAGGTGACCTTCTTAGTAATCAACGAAGTGAATACACGGCGTGTTCGAGCGATATTTACGCGCATTGCCCACTGCATGCGACCGACATTCATAAGTATTCCTGTAAAGGTGATTCCCAAGTGTAGGCTCTACAACTCGTAAAAACAGATACACTTGGTACGGGAATGTCTCTATACCGGCTCTGTTCCTTTTTTTTTTTTCGTCTTCAGCGGCCACGATGCCCAATCGTAAGAGAAGGCCGTAAACTATGAAGTCCGGTCCCTTATCGGAACTGCTCCGAGAACGCCAGCGCGCGATAAGATTGCGCGTTCCTGGGTTTATTGTCTCACTCTTCACGGCATACAATCGCTGCCCACAACGAGTGCATAAAACTACGATAACTAAAAGAAAGACCGTGACCCCGAAAGGTGCAGTTGAAATACGTTATTCGTGTTAACGTTTTTCACGGCATCCATCACGTTCGGCATCACCTCCTTGCCGGCCCACTCATCGCTTATACTATAATACGTGTTTCAAGTGATGGCTTGTCGTCTCATTAAGCTTCATGTAATGCTCACATATTCAAAACACAGCCTCTGTTGGGTGTGTTCAATGCCATAGTTAGGCGCATTATAACGAACCCTGAAACATAACTCGTCGTCACGAAGACTGTTCTGCACCGTTCTGAAAGTAAGAAACTAAAACAAGTAGTAACCAAATGAACTTTCATTCATTCATTCACTGGGCATGATCAAGGTCATGCCCACCTGCAACTTTTTTTCGGCGCACATACCTTGTATAGGACTCCCACGTGGTCACCCACCCAAATGACAGTAGTGCCGTTCTGCTGCATGACAGTAACGGATGTCGCCAGCCTTCTGTCCAGCGTGATGGCAGCTGCGCCGGTGAGCGGAAGCATGCCTTCGATGTAGTTGTTCACGCCAGGCGAGCACAGGATGTCACCACTCGGATTCTGGAACAGGCAAGAAAACCCGCATAGTAGTTAGCCTGATACATCCATCACAACGCCATCCTAAGGCTAATCCACTAGTAACCCAGTCATCCGGATGCTCGCGGTATATATAGGCCCTTAACTTTACCCTAAGCCAGCAATTTCATCCGCCGACGATACGATTATGAGGAACGCTTGGGGCTCCTGAAATTTCGACCCCCCGGGGTTCTTTAGCTTGCACCTCAGTTTATGTACGCGAGCCTCTAGCATTTCACCTCCATAGAAATGCAGCCGCCGCGGACGGGATTCGATCCCCCGACCTTCGGGTCAGCAGTCGGACATAGTAACCACTAGATCACCGCGGCGGGCTAAGGGGCACGATGCTACTTTCATGGCTCTCATAGTAGACTGCCTGGGATGCTCTCCTGAAGTGGAGCATATATAGCCAATAACTTCAGTCACTCATCAGTTCACTACTTGTTTCGGTGACATCAGTTTGGGTTCAGCTTTCGCTGGTTTTACCATCGTGACTCTTAACAATCCGTACCTTGGTGCAGATAGAATGCAATGATTGCACACTTTTTTTTTTCCAAGATACCAACCAGCTATATAGATAGTATATCACGCACACCAACCAGCCTGCTTCAGCCTGAAACTTACACCGTATAGGATGAGGCGAAACGAAGTCCTACAAACATTTGCGGGATCTCAGGCTCGGTGTACTTTACGCTCCGCAAATTGCGCGCCAATAAGAGTTTGGCGAAATTCGTGTGTACACACTGCGGTAAAGTCGGAGTTGCCTCGGAGCACGAATATGTACTTTCGTCACACCTTACATCTATACTTTTTATAGGTCGACGACAGTGTTTCCAAAGCGCATAAATACGCTTTAGAGGACTACATATGGTGACTTAAAGAGTCGTTTTCGGTCACCTCACAGCTTATGTACATGTTGCTTCCTATATAATAACTTACGGGTGGGTTTCGGTACTACCACATTGCGCTATAACCTTGTCGCTTTGTATCGTTAGCAGCTAAACTAACACAACAACGGTAGACGCTTACGCATGAAAACTACTGAATTCGTGCATTCGGTGTTTCATGACCTTTCACTTCATGACACGTGAAAGCTCACATGGTCCCTTGTGCATTACTTTCCTAAAACGACTCAACGGCGAAAGCCATTTTCTTTTTTCTTTTCAATCGTTTGTACTTACTCTCGACTCCAAAATATTTGTACACTCAACGTAGTTTTGCACTGCCTCCGAGATCGGCTCACCCTTTACCAAGCTAGTGTCATGTTAACGCGTCGTCATTTGACATCGTTGTGACGTCACGTTAATGTCATCGCGCGCGATTACTTTTCGCGCCGCTCGCGTTGACGCCACCACTGCCGATGGTCTCTTTTGGCGTTGTGACGTATCTACGGCATTTCGCCTTAAAACAACAAATGAACTCATTCAACGGTGCGACCAGCTATTGAAGCCAGGCAGTACAGTATATGAAGAATTACGAACACGTCACTTACGTAACGGGTGCACTTCAGTTCCGCCTGCGGCTCGTGCAAGAGCCGCGACAGCTTCGCCTTCGACGTGGCCTGGTTGCAGTTCTCGACGGTTACGCGGAAGGCAGCTTCGACCTCGTTCATATCGAAGAAGCACAGCGCGGAGCCTTGTCCCGGGTCGTTAATATCCATGCGGCCGCCGAAGGGACTACCGAAGGCCACGGCGAGGACCTTCGACATGCCCGAGGGCCCCAGCGATGCGCTGGTCGCGATGGTGTACCGCAGACCGGCGTCTTTCGGACACTCGATGGGTACCTCCATGTACGTCAGGAACGAATCGTCACTCTCGCACACGCGCGCCAGCCGCGTCTCGAAGGACTCCAGGGAGGCGCCCTTGTTCTGCACCGTGACGAAGTAGGCGAATCCGTTGTGGCTGAAAGCGTAAACGTATTTGACGCGGTACGACTTCTTCCATCGCTCGTTCACGTTCACGTAGGACGCCACAGACTGTTCGAAAGCGCGTAGCTTGAATGAGTCGGACTTCTCCAGCACCCTGGCGGACACTGCGTAAGGGTGGTACTCCAGGGGTCTGCCGTCGTACGTGGAGCCAACAAACAGCGTCCCTGGGTTGCCGTTGAAGAAGGCGACAGTGCTGTCCTTCGAGGCCACATAGTTGACTACCAATTCGTTGTTCATATACTTGCTGACGTTGAGCCCACGCAGGGGCTGGTGCCAGGAGCAGATGCCCTGCGACGTGGTTCCGCAGGCCAGGATGACCGCGTGCGTGCCGAACTGGAGCAGGACTCGGTTGTCATTGTCAGTCAAGGTCCGGCTGTCGCTGCACTCTTTGGGATACGGACGACACGTGATGCTGTCATTTTGGGGGCCCGTGCTTTGAGTGGCCTCGAGCGAGAAATTGTCCGCGGAGAGCTTGTAGAGAGCGTTTCGACCACCGACGATCACCGCGTCGCCATTACGATCCAGGGAAACGTATATCACATTTTGCACAGGGCCTCCGGGAGCCTGAAAGTGCCGGATGTCAGCCGCGTCGCCTGTGTAAGCGCACGCTAACAGCGTCACCACGCCCAGCAGCGTCCATCTCCGTCTCACACAATGGGTAAACATCGCTGAGCTGGTTCGACCCACGTCGGAGTGCTTCGCACGCTCAACTAAGGTCATAACCGGCTGAGTCCGGAATTCCGGGCCATGCCTGCGAAAAGAAATGGCGAAACATGAAATGGTAAGCGCAGGCGTTCTAGTCCTTTTCACGTTTCCCGCCTCTTAATTCAATATCTGCGTGCAATCTATGCAACACGCCCTGCACGCACACACCACAACATTGCGATTACGCTTCGCCAACGCCCACTCGCTTTACTATGCTTTATCAGTCATTGTTGTCGCTGTGTTCCCGTTCACCGAGCTGAGCATATATAACCTCCGAAAATGTTCAAAAAAAAATGTGGCGAGACTAGTTCGGCATGATTTCTATCGAAATATCTGAAAAGCTCAAACACGTCACACGGAACGCATATACTGATGCCTGAAAGTATATCTGTACACTGTACTCTCCCGGCGCGCCACCGCAAAACCTGATCACACCCGTATTAATAATTACTGACGTTTCGTGCAACAAAACAATGGCAAAACCGTGATATCATTCTGAGGTACGTCGCAGGGGACCCCGGATTAGCTTCGACGACCTGGGGACCGGTGTTCCGTATACGAGTGTTATTCAAATTGCGCAGCCATGGAAGTGTGTAGCTGCCATGGCCGGGAACCGAACCCACGCCTTCGTTTTTAGCAACCCGACACCTTAAATGAGTTGTGAATACCAGGGTATGGTCGAGATTTTTTCACCAGTTCTATGCATTCGTCCCAACAGAAACTGTCATGTGCTCACGTGTACCACGGGACAATTGAAAGCAGCACGAGCCACAGTCGGCGTCTCTCATAATCATGTGATGGTTTTGGGACGTTAAATTCCGCATATAAAATCGCGAGCTGTAGTCAGTACAGACTATGTAAGGGTTTATCTCGACAGCTTGGCTCTGAGAGATTTTCCACGTGACAAGACGAGTTCGCGTAACGTGAATTAAAGCTTCCAGCTATGCATAATGTGCTGGCTTCCACAGATAACAGACTACGAAGAATGAACGACCTCTAATGCACGCCACTGCCATCTTCAGAATTGATTGATTGATATGTGGGGTTTAACGTCCCAAAACCACTATATGATTATGAGAGACGCCGTAGTGGAGGGCTCCGGAAATTTAGACCACCTGGGGTTCTTTAACGTGCACCCAAATCTGAGCACACGGGCCTACAACATTTCCGCCTCCATCGGAAATGCAGCCGCCGCAGCCGGGATTCGAACCCGCGCCCTGCGGGTCAGCAGCCGAGTACCTTAGCCACTAGACCACCGCGGCGGGGCGCCATCTTCAGAACACGTGCTTTAAACGCTGCTCGAGGCAGAGGAAACCGCGTGGCATCTGGGCGCGCCCGCGTCGTGCCGCCGGAGGCCCAGATTTTCGACGCCCCGAACGGTTCCGGCCGGGGTCATCGACTCGCGTTCAAGTGCAGCCAGGAAAGCAACAAGTTACGCAGGCTTGCGCCACCACCTCCTCTTTTGTGGGACCCCGATAGTGAAGCCGACCAGAACGCCTGCCAATACACGCCGCCGCCTGCGGTGTGAGAGTGTGTGTTTGGTTAACGTCTCATCCTGAGGACTGCGCCAAATACACTGCAGCGCAGCTGCACTCTGTACTTGACCCGGGCAGCGAAGAGGCGTCTGTTTCGAACATTTAAGATGTCGCTGTTCATAGAGTACTAAAAGGAAATATTAGTTCTTCAGTTAGTTCAGGATAATGGCACATTCTATTCGGTCAGTCAGTCGGGTCATATACCGACAGACGTGTGTCGTGTAAAAACAAATAAAAAAAACAACCTCGCAGTGATCTCTCATGCAAATTTGCTTGATGATGATGACGATGATCCTTGGATGATTGGCCCCTACCCAATCGGGAGTATTGGCCGAGGGTCGGGCGGATCATTCATCGGATTTATCATTGTTATTTTTACGCTCTAATACAGGACACGAATGCAATTGTGCTGAAGCGTTAATTATAATGGATACTAATTATAGCTTACGCTATTTTGCGTAACCTCTCAGTGACCAAATATCTGAGGTGCATTTGCTTAAGACGACTCGAGGACAAAAGTAATCTTTTCGCTGTACACCTACGCCTCCTTCCGACAGCTTTCTGCACCTAACACGGTTGTGAATCGCCTCCGGAACTCGAAGCATTGCTAGCTTTCTGTGCCTCGTCTGGTAGCGCCTTGCCTCTGAGATTGCACCACATTTGACCAATTGACGACGTCTTGTGACGTGACACCACGTCATGTGGCTACATTTATAGTAACGTCAGAGTGACATCACAAATTTTGTGACCCATGACATCGTGATGCCATAATATGGCTACGGCACTACTTTATGACGATTTTTAGTCAATTAATTTCGCTTGACACCGGCGGCTAATTATCCCGCTTGACGCGGCATCTGAGCAGCGTTTGCCTTAATGGCAATTATGTCGCCATCCCTGGCTTCTGCCCTGTCAGGTGACACGAATCAAGGAAGCGGTGAGGTAACAGTGACGACCGACGGCTGCGGAATTTACTTCTCGAAGCAACAAAGTGCAAATTCAACTACAGGTAAAAATGTCTCTTCTGCCTCCCGATGCACTCAACCACTAACGTTTCAGCGCGCACGGCATTTTTACATCAAATAAAACTTCTTGTTAACGTAAACGAAATTGTTAACCAATGATTGCAATAAGGATACAGTCTTGCGAATGAAATTATATTGGTTCAAGAGATTAATGATGCCTTTACCTGCATACTCTTGTCATTGAGAGAATACGCTGTATGTATGAATAATGAGAGCGTCGGAAGAGTAAGCCTTGTAAAAACATCGATGACCGCTGTTTCCTGACCTGGATACATGGCATGCAAAAAAAAAAAAACTCCCTATCTTTCTCAAATATTTCAGTCAAATCGGGCGATACAATGCGCATCGCCTCGTTACACTATGAAAATTTTGAAGTGTTAGGTACACGAATATGTGTCGGCACAATATCACTCAAAAATGTCGTCAAATTGAGTTTTCTCATGACGTTTGACAGCATGTATCCTTCGTAATGTCCTGTGTGGTACTCAAGTATACCACCCTCGCATTTTTGCGCACGCCCAAGTTTGGACAGCACTGCACGCAACACGCGATTGAGAGTATAATTCATGGAAGTAAAAATACACACCAGGCGCAAAGCCACTTCGGGGCACCCGAATAACAAAAGAAGAGGCTCGAGCTGTATAGAGCAGGCGGAGGGGCGTTGGCTGAGAGGTTCGCTCTTGCGTTTTCAACAAAAAGAAAAGCACGTGGAGTCATGGGAGACGATGCATTATATAGCCGGCTCGCTTGGGAAGGCTTGTTACGCGCTAATCCGGGGCGCTATTGGCGCACAAAGCCAGGGCATGCCTTGAAAACATCTCTCAAGGGCCGGGCGTTGCTTCTCCCATGATTGGTGTACAAGACACCCACTATAGATTGCCACCCCGTCCCCCTCCTCTCACTGTTTCACCGGAAGTCGATTCCATTTCCCAACTATTAACGAATCGGCTTTTCTGACCTCTTTCAACGATGTGGATGAAAAGCCGCCCGTTTCGATACTTGCTATACTTTTTTTTTTTTTGATGATCACTTCACCGTAGAGTTCCACATTATGAAACGCATTTCGAGCTGGCGTTCGGGAATAAGCAGGAGTCAAGGCCCGTGCACAAAACTGCCCCTACACGTTGTATATCAATTCGTAGTAGCCGATTCCGGGCAAAAGCGATAACAAATACATAGTGAATGGCATCGAAAGCATTTATTTCGGCCTTTACATAGTGTTTCACCCTGGCTCCTCAGATGGGTGCAATCGGAACTAGCAATAATGCAAGACAATATTCGCAGACAGCGTGTTTTCCCGAGTTTCTCGCTTTGCGCTCTCTTTTTCACTACTAATTTTTTATTGATATTTTTTTCTTTACTGGCCGACGCATCGCTTTCTCAGACGTAAGTAAAAAAAAAAAGAATAGTTCGCAACGTAAATTCAGGGTAGCCAAGTGGACGAGTCGGCTGATGTTGCACTACAAGCGACGGGAAGCGACGAAATGAGGGAAGGTGTTTTATTTTGTGCCTGGCCTCCGAGATGGCAAAGTTGCACTTCCGAGCCGTAGCGATCTGGAAAGCCACGTTAAAGTGGCACTAAAGCGAAACAATGAATTGATTTAGATTGATAAATTTTACTCTCTAAACTCTATTGCCGCGAACTTCACGCCATCATAAGTTTATTGATGGAGCAAAAAACGTACAACGTCAACGTCTCATATTTAAATGTCCCGCCAAATGTATCCTCGCGAGCCATCACAGTCTTCGAATTGCGGTGTTCATATTTTGGTGACACTGGCGCTGATGAACATTTCCTAAAACTTCGCACATTATGTCTCTATAGCCTCTTAACAAGACAATGTACTTATTTTTACCAATCAGGAATGACGTAGGTCCTAGTACGTACCGTCAAAATTTCTTAACGTCAGGTCAGTTGGTGCGGAAACTTCAAGGTGGCGCTGCCACCAGCTCTTTCTTTTTGCTCGTTCTTACACGTCGTTTGCATGACTTCTCGCGGCTATTGTGGTAGTTTCGGTATTTTAAAAGAGTAAGTTGCTATTAGAAAAAAAAAGCGTGGTTGACATTTTTTTTTTTTTTGCAAGCCTTTCCTCAGACCTCATGCACTTTTTTTTTCTGCCTTTGTTGGGTGTATTGCGTGCTGCTTCACTACATGACGAATACCTGTACACATGTTTATAACAATGTTCTGTCACTGCCGCTCGATGAAAAAAAAAAAACACGTGTGTTTTTCATCGAGTGGCCGTGGGCCTGCAAAAGACGCGCACGATAAAGCACATGCGTTGAGGCATCTACTTGATTTACGTTCGCTGAGCGGGCAAAGTATATTCGCTCTGCTGTGGCTAGTTGCATTGTTGCGTCAATGAAAAGGCATGGTTGGCAAACAGTGGCAACAAATTATCCATGACAGTTGCGAATGGGAGGTTTTTTGTGGTTTTTTTTTTTTGTGACTCAGACACGGGACGCGCGGAGCATTGATACACGTT